AGAACGACGGATAATGCCGCAAAGCTTATCAATCAACTCGCCAATCGAGTCATCCATCTGCCGCACGATTGCTCCAGCTTCTCTGTATTTACCGCTTGGGCACAAGAAATTGCCCGTAGTCTTACTGCTGTCCATCGTGATATTCTCCGAGAGCGAATTTTCCCATGTTTCGTTGATGATAAATACCGCAAACAGTTGCAAGATGCGATGAAGAGATGCAACGTTTCGGTCGCACATATTTCTTCTTTATTACCTCGAGCCTCAGGCTTGAGTGCATTTTGACTAGGTACTTACGTGCGATAGAAACGACGCAGATCATCATCAAAGCAGACCTACGAGGAGGCAAAGCAGATCCGCACCTTCATGCACTTCATGCAGGACGTTAAGCAAGCCCCTCCAGACGAGCTTCCAGCATCGGATGCACATTCTCGCCTAAACTTAACACTGGTGGCCAAATAACTTCTCGCGAGCACTTGATCATGAGTAAATCAAGCAAATCGTTGATCAGCTCTTAAAGCATGTTGACGACTACGCCACGATTCGGTTCCCCGCAGAAAGCAGCTTCGATTTCATCACGTGCTCCTACTACTTCCGACGCCCTCACTTCTCCTCCCTTTCGGGAGGGTGGACAGAAGTCCACTTCTTCCAGGAGGTGTATGCGTGGCAGCGGGCAGCCTACGGGCACGGGGAGAGGACGAAGCAGAGCGGCACCGTTGCGTGTCGCTGGGAGCTTCCAGCAGCCGTGAAAGTGGGACAGGACCCCGTATGGGTTCTTATCCGCCACCGGCCGCAGGCAGAACCCGACGATTCGCAACCGCCATGTATTTTCTGCTCAACCAGAAAACACTTTCCGCTGAATGCAATTTCTACAAACGACTCTCAGAGAGAGCGAATATCCTTCGGGAGATTCACATTTGTAGTAATTGCCTCAAGGACCATTGGAGTTCTTGTTCCCGCGAACAATGGTGTCGTCTATGTAAACAAAGTGGTCATCATCAGGCCATTCGCGTGCTTAAAATTGCTATCGTGGACATAGGCGTACCAGCTTACCGCGTTTACCGCGAAGATCTAGCGTGAGACACGTACATCGCTGATCGGAAGGGAGCATCGAAGGCTCCGTGGCCTCCCCCATGAGCTCCCCGGGTTCTTGCTCTCGGTCTTATACTCGAGCTCGTCCTGGTGACAAGAGATCGATATCACATCGCCAACCCTCTCGAGGTTCATCGAGAGCCCGCAAACAGGGTTACCTCCAGCGACCGTACTAAACAGCACGGATCGTATATTTACCACTGGTCGGGTGAAAACACTTCGACTTTCGGTCGGGTCTTACCACTTTAGGCAAGGCGATCAACGCAATGGGTACGTGGCAACGACAAAATCTATCCACAATAACAACATCCACTGGCAATGGCAACATCAGTCAAGCTCACAACCTATCGTTTTCGGTCAACGTCTTCAGTCAACGTCTTTGGTGAACTTCTTGGTCGACAACGTCCAACGAAAGGAGGATCCCGACGCAGCTTAGCAAGCTTTTCTCTTTTTCTCTTTTTCCTTCAAGTTGCCTTCAAGGCACTCGTTTCCCCTTCTTCTCTCGAGTGCCCTTAAGGCGCTCTCCCCTTTCTCGTGTACATTTTGTATATTTTGTATCCTTTTTGGGGTGCCCTTAAGGCTCTCATTTGCGTGTTTTCGAGGTACTCTAAGAGTACTCTTGAGATACTCTTGAGGTATTAGGTTGTCCGGAAAGTTCTCAGCGTTTTGTGTTACTATTTTTTGTACATTCATTGCTGATTAAAAACTCATTCTCCCTTGCGTCTCAGTAGTACATCCTGAAGAGAATTTCTTGCGCTATCTGATGGTATAATTGCCGTTTCACCATTGCTTGATAAACCCCCTTTTCCCTTTTGAAGCATGTCAAAAGAGCAACTTCGGACGATATTTTTCTTCAACTACAAATTGGGTCAATCCGCAGTCGAGACAGCTCGACAAATTAAAGGCACGTTCCGCGATAAACTAGGGCTAGGTTCTCATAACCGTGCCCGACGGTCAAGCAGGCAACGTCAGAGGCTATGCTGCTTACAAAAGTTGAAAAACAGCAAGCAAAACGCGGCGCGCTCAGCTTTTAGGCCCATTGGCGCCCGATAGGCCCATGCCGGCCTCCGGTGATCGTGTCGTTGTGACATTGCCATTGTGCTCTCTCGCTCGTAGTTTCCTGGCCTCATCGTTCGTTTTCTGGCCTCTCTCGTCTCTTATCAGTGTCTCGCCGCCTTTTGCCATCCACAATCGATCTTGACCACCTTACGCTCGTCCGGTGATCATGATCAATTGAAATAAAGAGGGTCTTATTGCGGGCGCTTTTTCGTGGTTCCTTCCCTTCATTAAGTCAACAACCACAGGGCAATTCTATTTTTGAACTGTATTACCTATGAAGTGTGGTCGCGGGAATTGCCTTTAACCAGGTGGGGGCCCAATAGTGTTGGAGAAAGCACCGTGCGACAATGGTTCGACAAATTTCGTTCTGGAGATTTCAGCCTTGAAGATGAACCTCGTAGCGGTCGACCTAAAGCAATACCTGACGAGGATTTGAAGGCGTTTGTGGAGGCTGACCCATCCCAAACAGTTCGAGAGATTGCAGAAAAGCTAGGCGTTGGCAAATCCACTGTTGCGGATGGTCTGAAACGCATTGGGAAGGTGAAAAAACTCGACAAGTGGGTGCCCCACAATTTGAGTGACCGGCAGAAATTGGCACGTCTCGAGGTTTCTTCTTCACTGCTTTTGCGCAACCCGTTTTTGGACCGAATTGTCACCTGTGATGAAAAGTGGATCATGTATGATAACAGGAGACGTTCCGGACAGTGGTTGGATGCCGACGAACCACCGAGGCAATTTCCAAAGCCGAATCCTCACGAAAAAAAGATTATGGTCACAGTGTGGTGGTCATCGGCTGGTGTGATCCACTATAACTTTTTGTCACCAGGCCAAACCATCACAGCAGAGTGTGAAGAAATCGACGAAATGTACCGAAAATTGCGTCAGCTGCAGCCAGCACTTGTCAACAGAAAGGGTCCGATTCTTTTGCATGACAACGCCCGCCCACACGTTTCACAAATCACTATCCATAAATTGAACGAATTGGGGGTTGAAGTTCTACCTCACCCGCCATATTCTCCAGACCTTTCACCAACCGACTATCACCTTTTCAAACATTTTCAGAACTTCCTTGCTGGAAAATACTTCATCAATCAGGACCAGGCAAAAAAAGCCTTCGTAGATTTCGTGGATTTCGTGGATTCTCGACCACCCAGTTTTTTTTTGATGGGATTTATCGACTGGTGTCACATTGGCAAAAGTGTGCTGATTCGAACGGTGCTTATTTCGATTAAATCCGATGAGTATTAAGAAAGTTATGATCGTTTAAAGTGAAACACTCAAAACGCTGAGAACTTTCCGGACAACCTAATACTTCCCGCTGAGGTGCTTTCATTTGCTGTTTTGTATATATTTCCGCGTGTTGTTTTCGGAGACACTCTCAGATGTCCCTTGATTTCTTGTTTTCAAGGACACCTTTGGGGTGTTCTTTGATGTTCTGCGTTCGATGGTTTTGGTCTCCTTTTCAGGCAGCCCTTAAGGCACCCATTTGTTGTCATGAGTATACGGTTGAGAGTAGGGACCGTCGTATTAGGTAGTTATCTGTGAGGAAAGACCAGACCATCACTCCTCTTACCGCTTTACCGCCTTATCGCTTGTTTGGCCTAATTCAGACACACTGGTGCATTTGTGCTTTTTTGCTGGGAGGTCTCCGTAGTGCATCACTCCTGCTGGCAGGTCTTTCTTCTTGTCTCGGCAGCGTCGCGGTTCGCGATGCCTCGGGCGCACCGTGTGCCTGGGCTCTGCCTTGCGCTACGGTCAAACCTGCGCTGCACCCGTTAACCAATAGGTGAGAGCCACGTGGCGCCACGCCGCGTGCTGCTACTATATGAAGCAGCCGGCGGAAAGCGGAGCTCTCTCGGCGTCCCTCTCTTGCTAAGAGGAGGGCACCAGTCTCCTGCGCCGGCAAAATGCTGCCTTACCGCTAACGACATCAATCAAGGATCGATGGATTGGTCGTCTAGGACGGCAGGGATGAGTATAAGAGGAAAAAATTGGTGCCGTCATTCACGCTGCAAATAATTATGAGTATTTTGTATTGTGTGTTCTTGTGTAAGGGCAGATAGCTGGGAGCGCCAGGGCGGGCGACCTACTAAGGCGCTGTAGGTTGTAGTGTCATGTTGGTTGTGCGTCCAAGCGACCAGGGAACCCTTGGTCTGGTCCTCGTGGCCGGGCCAGGGCAGGCCAGTCGTGGGGACAGTGCTACCGCAAGTTCCCCCACAACCCCCGGGATAGGGAACCCTGTAGACCCTCGGGGAGCGGAGGCTGCACTGGGGAGAGACCAGTGCGGTCCCCGAGGAGGACCCTTAGGATGACGTGAGTTCCTGGATTCGGGACTCACGGGGCTCTGAACCACCTCGATGCGTCGTGTTGGAGGGGTCAGAAGGGCGACTGCCTCTGAACCACGACACGGGAGAGACCTCGTTCAGGGGAGGGGTGTCGCACTAACGCCACCATTTCACGATGCTGTACCGTGAAAAATAGCACTGGCCGATATTCAAAGTGTGCAGAAGATAGCTTCGTAGATCAGAGAATGCCTCCTCTCACACGCAGGTTTGAAAATGAATACTCGCCAAGAAAATCTGTCCTGCACTTCAGTTGAAGCAAACTTCTGTGTTATTAACGAAGGACACTTCACACTGAACTCCGTAACATTGTCCCGCACAAGCAGGTAAGCAAGAGTTTATCTCATTTCCACTCGAAGAAAACTTAATCCGATTCGGTCACATTGAAAAATGCACTACTCGTCTGAAGCGAAAAGTGCAGTCTTAGAAACAGCTGAAGCAACAGAGAAGATTTTCAGTCAAAATAAGTTCATTACGTGCCCTAGAACGAAGTGCATTTCTATGATTCAATTACCAAACAGCACAACGTTTAGTAGGATTCATCGGAGTACCAATCGCGCATTTGAAGGCAGCAGCAAACTCTGGCTGATTGGCGACAACCTGATTAACCCTGGAAAACTGATATTGACACTATTCAGTGAAACCAAATACTAATAAAAATTGGAGCTGCAGCATGTGTACACTTCGCACGAATACAGTCAAAATTTTGCTCCATTATTATTCGCGTATGGCATCATATAACTCTAACCTGACCTTTATGCCATGGAGAAGTCCCTACACCGGGAAACGGACCACATGGAAATGTCTGAGGTATCCAAGTGCAAAAATGTTCTCCAGAATAGAAACAGAGATCAAGGGCTCTGGTGAAGTTATCACGAGACTTTGGGTTCTTTAGATAGGGTATGTAACCTTAACACTGTCTCTACTTTTGTAAAAGCGACATCTTGCGATGGGTGAGCTTTCTGAAAGCCGCAGCTTAGCTATGACTCCTACGTCGATCTCAATAACCGGCAGACCAGACAATATCGAGCAGCTTTGCTCATGGGAAATCACATGGAGTACAAAACGACCGCAGGGAAAGCCTTCCTATCCTCGAGTCTCCTGCACACACATTGATGCAATATCACACGCGATGCCAGGGGATCTGACTGCGCCGTCTATCTTCAACTTTGTTCACACAGTCTCAACTGCGTAAAAAGGTGACGGTAGAACAGAGTCGTAGCCTTTGAATATATTTTATGAGGATTCAAAATAATAACTACCAACCGGGAAATACAAATTCATTAGGAGCTAGACGATCCTGACTTCTGGCTCCATAACGTTGTCAAAGAACCTTGATATTCTTGGTGAATTGATTTGTTCTAAAGTATGTTCATGAGCTAGTTGACCTTTAAGGCACGCGTGGCTCGAACTACTCAAGTATTTATTCGGGTAGGGTAGGTAAGCGACAGCCAAAATCGAATGATACTCAAGGCTTCACGTAGATTCAGCAATTAGGTAGGGGAACAATGGAAGCTGGCCGGCAATCTTTTACCGATCATCCTTCTTGAACCAGAATGACCTCTACTGACAAAGTGAGTATCATGTTAATTTCTATTTGGCCTAAAGGATAAAGGATAAAGTCTTCGCCGTTGATCAATCCCTTTGTGGGATGCGGCACGCATTCTACTTCCATTCAGAATCGTAGTGGCTTATTGAATGCGATGTGGCCTATACAATGACTTGCGGGGCCAGCCGATGTACAAGTCAGTGTTTTATCCTCCCAGACGAATCTGGTACCAATTTACCGTCCCCGGAGGGTAGAAGGCTTGGTTGGCCTGGGCGGGTGTCGACCTGGGATTCGAACCCAGGACCGCGCGAGTGGTAAGCGCGCCACTTGTCACTACACCACCTCCGCCTCCTGTTTTGTTGCTTGTTGCCAACTGTTCTACCTGAACTCAAAAAAAATCTCGAGTTGATTCGTCAACGTGTAGCCGAAAGACTACAATCAACTACCCACCGAGGTCCGAGCTTGCGAAGCTGTGCTGAGAAACTATAAAAAAAATACCTTTAGGAGAGAAGAGCAGCAGCGCTGACGGGAGCAGGCCATGTGAAGAGTTGTATAACTAACACATGGTCCCGACAGCAGACTCGAATGTTTGGGAAATCTCCCGCTTGTTCTCACTGAAATTCTTACCCTGCACTAGATGATGTACGGCCATGCGGGCGAGCAGTTTTGGATAGGATTCAGCAAGATCGACCACATCCAGCCAGTAACGGGAAACGCTTGAACACAAGATGCCTGTTGTTTCATCATTCATCATCTCTGTCGAGAAGAAGAGGTGGAACCTGAGCAACCCAACTGTTGCTGCTCAAAACATGAGGATTTTTCTTCAATTCGAGCGACTTCACAAGGGGATTTCATCACTTCACAAATGGTCATTCTCAGCGTAAATAGAGAGGTTCGGCACGTTGGCACAATCTCGCCCAAACTGTTCAACGGCCTCTTGAGTAAGATGATGCGTAAGTTGGAGTGGGAAGAAGTTTGGGTGAAGACGGACGGTCGCCCATTACATCGTCACGACTTTGCTGACGACTTCGTTCTCGAACATCGAGCAAACAGAGCGGATGCTGCCTAATTCCGACGTACGCTGAGAAATTGGTTCGCCGATTGATCTAGCGGAGGCGATATTCATGAGGAACGGATTGGATTCTGCGGCCTCTTTTTCGTTCAACAGAAAGTACATCTATGAATATTCTACCAATGTGTACCTGCGTAGGGAAATCAACATGAAGGGCGACTTAGAGCAAGAGCGGTGCAGGAGAAAGCGGCGTGGGGTGCTTCCAAGGACACTGAGGAATTAGCGAATGAACAAGAACACCAGGCTACGGCTCATCTCTTCTATTCAGCTGTCGTTCCTGCTTCAACTCACGCCTCGTCGACTTGGACTCTACGAAAGCAGGACAATGATTTCCACGTTGTCCCTTGTTGTAACCTTACCAGGAATGATCAACAGGTCAGACCGGCCATTTCCAATGAGATGCACATCATTATACTCACTACACTACTACTACTTAACACGGTAAATTAAAAACTATCTTCAAAATTTGCGGAACGATTCTCTGAGCGGAGTTATGGAGGTTTTTCCTTACTGTTTTGTTATGATAACTGCTGTTTAACGCCGCAGTACGCGTTCCGAATGTTATCACAAGAATGCTGAGTTGTGGGCAAAAGTCGTGCCCCAGGCGGGAGTCGAACCCGCACCTCACGCTTTCCGGGCGAGTGCGCTATCCGTTACGCCACCAGGGCCGCTTTTACCCTCTCAGCTTAACGGCTTATGCCGTAGCCTTACAGCACTCACACGTTTAACTTGGTGAGCCGGTCAGCCGTAATCGTTAGATATCGGCATGGAACCGCAAGGCCGAAGGCTTTACAAGTTTTTGAAGCTGTTTTGTTATGATAACTGCTGTTTAACGCCGCAGTACGCGTTCCGAATGTTATAATGTTGATGTTGCTACTGCGGCGTTAGACAGCAGTTATCATGACAAAACAGCTTCAAAAACTTGTAAAGCCGCGTTCATACAGAGCGCCTCCGCGGCATCCGTGGCCTCCGCGGCCTCCGCGGCCAGGCGCGAAGCGTATGCGTCGCGGCCTCTTGATGGGGACGCTCGAACGCAATCAATACCTTGAAAAATGGGTTTCAGCTGATCTGGTTCAACTGGTCCCAACAAATGGGAACTCAACTGCAGCAAAATTTCGCCCTTGGCGGGTGTCCCTTTTTAACACATTGGCGACAAGGCGCCATTTCGCGTGCCTGCCGCGTGGGAAGAAGCAGTTTTTCCCTATTTTCGAAGAGTGCGCATAAATGCTAGGGCGTTTTTGCACCAAAACACTTGAAGAAGGACTAGTTTTCAATGCAGAAGTTAGTAAGGCTTTGCTGTTCTTTTTTATCTTCAAGATAAGCCCTTAATTTTCGTGGAATACTACCGCCCCATACACGTGGAACGTGGGAACAAGGAATATTTTCGCGCCAGAGGTGGTAAATTGGATTCGATTCAGATCTGCTATTGTTGAAAGTTACCTTATCACGTTAGCTATCTGCATGTGGAGCTTCAGTTCTATTCATCCAAAACTTACCTTTTTTCCTAAGGAAATTATTTTTGTTGTCTCCTCGGTAAAATACTCTCAATGACACAACTGCTTGTTTTACAACTACTGTATATTCCACAATGCCTTCCCGGACAATATGTACATGGTGAAAATTTGAAATGTTTTCAAATGGGTTTTTTTCCAGGATTTTGTTCGAAGTGCTTCTGAAAATCTTTCCAATTTAACATTCATTTTCACCATGCACAGCGATTTCTAAGCCGGAGGATGAAAAATATAGTTTTCGTGTAGAATGGTGCATTGTGGTAACAATGAATGCTGGAATAATGACATCCCGACTCAAAACACCTTTTGAAAATTACCACTATGCACTTCAACTACATATATTGAAAGGAAAACCGAGTTTACAGCGTGATTATCAACTTTCGAATAAGTTTCGGCGTCCCAACCAAGAGGCCGCGACGCGTACGCTTCGCGCTTGGCCGCAGAGGCCGCGAGGCCGCGGCCTCTGCGGAATTTCCAAATCGATACGTATACTTTGCTTGCTCTGAAAATTCCGCAGAGGCCACGGATGCCGCGGATGCCGTCTGTATGAACGCGGCCTAAAGCCTTCGGCCTTGCGGTTCCATGCCGATATCTAACGATTACGGCTGACCGGCTCACCAAGTTAAACGTGTGAGTGCTGTAAGGTTACGGCATAAGCCGTTAAGCTGAGAGGGTAAAAGCGGCCCTGGTGGCGTAACGGATAGCGCACTCGCCCGGAAAGCGTGAGGTGCGGGTTCGACTCCCGCCTGGGGCACGACTTTTGCCCACAACTCAGCATTCTTGTGATAACGTTTTTCTTTACTGTTTTTCTTGGGCCTCAAGGGCATGCTGGCGCCAAAGCTTCGGCACCTGTAGCGTGATTCTCAGCACTTCTCGTGCGAAATAGATACCATATTCGTGTTGAGGAGGTCACATATCCTCTAGAAATCACCTTAACGAAATCTGAGGTTATGACTCAATTCCGAAAGAATAGAGTGTGATTAGTCATGGCTGACTGATAGCCAACAGCGGTTAATTCTTCAGTCATAACTTTCCCACAAAAAACAAAATCTGGCTTACTTATTCGTGCCGTCTGCATCATTTTCCTGTTTACCGGGAGGAAATTCCATCCCGAGACCAGTCATCGATGGTAGGTGAGCTCCAATCTGCTGCTAATTACCCATGGAATAGCCCACATTTTCCAAGTTAGGTCGAAATATCAGATTCGGCTAGAAACTTGTCCCCAGGGGTAATTTGACCCGCTGAACATGAATATGATGGTATTTCATTGCAAAAACCCTTGTGACATGTGTTACGAGGGGTACAAGCACAAGCACTCTTTCAGGCCACAATGGGTCTACACTTTCGAAAAAAAAACTGGTCGCAGTTTCCTTACAGGGTAGTGCAGGCGAGCAGAGATGTTAGAAGCTTTGTCGGCCATGTTCTTGGACAAATGCAAAAAAGTGATCTGACGGGGAACCATCCGTTGACATCTCGTC